GGTCGTGGGGCCTGAACTCTGGGCCTGGGTGCTGTCCCTCAGCTCTTCAGCTCAAGGCTAGCGCTCTACCACTTGAGCCACAGCGCCACTTCCGGCATTTTTCTTTTTGCTTATGTGGTGTTGAGGAATCGAACCCAGGTCTTCATGCATGCAAGGCAAGCGCTCTACCACTGAGCCACCTTCCCAGCCCAGTCTATGAGATTCTTATCTCCCATCAGCCAACAGAAGACCAGAAATGGAGTTGTGGCTCAAAGTGACAGCACTAGCCTTGAGCAAAAATTTAGGGACAGATGAGGTCAAGCCCTACAACACACACACACACACACACAACTAGTTTCTAAATTTTAATGACTATTCCTAAGACACACTGTATTAAAACATTGATTAGAAACCAGTCAATGACTAGCACTTACTTGTAGTAGTATTGAGATAGGAAATCAAGTTTTATAAAGCAAGTCTTAAGAGTGCCAGCTCTTGATTAGGATGCTAATTCCAGATACTTGTTAATTAAGTTGTAACAATGTTTACATTCACTCTATTATTTGTTCTATTCCACACACAAAAATCAATTTTTTTTTTTTTTGGTTGGTAGTGGGGCCTGAACTCTGGGCCTAGGCGCTGTCCCTCAGCTCTTCAGCTCAAGGCTAGCTCTGTACCACTTGAGCCACAGCACCACTTCCAGCTTTTTCTGCTTATGTGGTACTGAAGAATTGAACCCAGGGCCTCATGCTTGTGAGGCAAGCACTCTACCACTGAGCCACCTTCCCAGCCCCCAAAATCAATGATACTTATATAGATTAAAATTCTGTTTACTGGTTTATTATTACATATTGGTTTTTTGGTTTATCTGTTTATTATTATTCTATTTATTGGCAAGGCCAATAAACTTCACTTTGTCTTGAGACATCAGTGTATTTTCTACATTGGGAAGATTATCTGTTTTTCCAAATCTGCTGAAATTTCCCTTTTAATGAGCATAAGGAATATTAAAAAAAAAAAGTGCCACAGAAAATTAGGTGGAGTACTCCTTAGCTCATTGTAACAGAATAGAAAAGGGGTAGTGATCATTCCACACAAGAACTTACCTTGACAGTTGCAATCTGGCCCTTCATCTTTGACCGGAGGCCCCGTATTTCTTTTCCGTTTACTCATGGAGACCATGGCAGATTCTGTAGCTCCAACACTAGATGAATGGACCTCCTCTTTGCTCTTACTATTAACTACACCTGAACTTACTACATTCACATTCCTGAGAACTGGTTCTGGGTCAGCTAAAAGGATCTCACTAGGCAATGTGGGCAGACACTCCTCTGGAGTTCCACCATGTTGGAACTGTGTTTCCTTATCATTCTCCATCACATTCTCACATTGGATAGACAAGGAGGATGGAGGCCAAGGAAGAATTTTCTGATTGACATTCACCATTGACTGTACCTGAGAATTACCAACTTTGTCTGTAAATGCTTGCCCCTTGGACTCTGTTTGGAGATGATTTGGGAATGAGTCCAATGGTTCAATCTTCATTTCTTCCTGGCTTAATTGACAATATCGCTTGAATTTAATCTGAGAAAGTGGGAGAAATAATTTACGTTTTCCGGCTGAACCAGTTTGAATCAGTGGTTTCCATTCTTTGGCAAGAGTATTTCCCAAAAGAGGAAAATCATGTGGACCAAACTGTCCAAATCTTTGAAATTTGGATGCCATCCAAATGTCATGCAACTTATTATATTCATTTGCTAACTGTTCCTGATTCTTTTGGCCATTTTCTTGAGCGTTGAGGACTGTAGACTTTTTCTTTCGATCTCTTGACTGAGTAGACTTTGCTTTCTTCTGAGTTGTGCTCTTTGGCTTTACAGATGATAAACCATGATGATTTTGTACACTTAAAATTGGTTTCTCTTCTTTCAGCTCTTTCTCCTGTACTTTATTTGTAACAATGTTTGTTGGTGCGGTTTCAACATTCTTGTCCTCTGGATTTACATAATTGCATTTAATGATCGAGGCCAGTTGTGTTAATTGTGTTGCCACATCTTCCTCAATTTGACTATGGGATACATTCTGACATGATGGGTTATGTGAATTCAAATTTTTGCTACTGTTCAATAACAAGTTGTAATGTCCCCATTTATTAATTTGTGGCAACTGAGGCAAAGCCTTAGAACCATCTTCAAGGGTATCTCCACCTCCAACATTTTTATTGGTATCAGTTTGGGATGAATTTGATTTGGGTGTTAAAAAAGATACAACATTTTTGATTTTGGAATGCTCCTGTGGCTTTCTGAATACTTCATAAGTAGCTGAATTGATATGTGACTTGTATAGGGTACTGTGGCCATTATATACTGTGTTGCATGAACTCTGCTTTTCCAAAGATGGACTGTGATGAGTTCTTTGTGTCCCTCCTTGAGTAATGGGGACTGGGTGGTCTTTTCTTACAGAACTTAAGATAATTTTACAACTATTCAGCAAGCTAGCTGTTCTCTGAGCTGTTCTTTCATCCTTTTCAGACTTTGATGGTGAGGAACTCTCAGATGGGGCTTCTGAGAGTTGAGTGAGAGCCTCTATGGCTACCACTTGCTCCAAAGTTAATCTCCTATCTTTTATTAGGGAGAGAAGACTTGGTTGAACTGGAGATCCATCTTTTGGTTCTTTATGTGGTTTAATCTCGGGTGTCTGCGATTGTTCAACTTCTCTCACTGAAGTAGTATGAATATTTAAGTTTGCAGAATCCTCAGATTTGTTGTTAAAGCCAGGTTTCTGTAAGTTTAGCACTTGACTATCCTTGAGATGATCGTCGCTTGCACCAGAAGCAATAGGGCTTATGGCATGGTTATGGTTGGCAGTGTCTGTCAGGAATTTGAAGGAATGGTTTTCCAATGCTTTGTCCAATTCTCCAAAGTTGAATTTGTTAAATGATGCATTTGTCTCAGCTGGGATATAGTGTACATTTTCAATGCCATTTCTAAGGGTGTGTGCAAATAATTTGGAAGATTCAGTTGTTTTCTGGTCATCTTTAGAGTTTCTTGAGTTTTCAGCTTCTGTTATAGGGGAACTAAAGTCTCCTTTGACCTGCTCAGTTAAATGTGCCTTCTTGTTTTCTGTCCATTTCTCCACCTCAATACCTGTCATGCTTCCTTCATTTTTAGTTACATTTTCAGGGGGAGCTGCATTCAAATCCAATCTTTGTTCTTCCCCATGACCACATTTGCTGTTTTCCATGGATTCTGACTCGGGGCCATTTACTAATTTCTTGTCAAGCTCTGCCTGCAAAATATGGAAGCGACTACTGATTATCTAAATAGAAATAAATACCACTTAATGCAATATCACTTAAATGTGAAGCCTCTGTGGACACAATGGTTACTGAGGCTACTTCTACTCTTCTAGATTCTAGAGATGCATGAACACTACTGAGAATGCCAGTCAGTATCAGATAGTCACTATGGGGCATTAAAACAAAGGTCAGTCTCCAGCCTCCACTAAAAGATGTGTTCAATTTGGCCTTTGATATTTAAAAACAAAATCAAATGAAACAACAACAAAAATGCTGAGGCAGAGGTCCGCCCAATTATTTGCAAAAAGGAATATGGAATACTGGCCAAAGACGGTTAAGTTCCCAGGAAGACAGATGTTGGTAGTCCAAAGCAGTAGTCTATATCATATTTGGACAACCAGAACACCAGAAAGCTGAATGCCCAATGGGACCAAACAGTCCGGTGACATGCTGCCACTACCATAGCAGGAGACACTGGAGAAAGAACTGTCTCTCTGCAGGGAGGCATCCACCACCAAAATATAGTCCCTGAGCCCCCCAAATCCTTTGAGGAACCTCTGGTGTCTCAATGTGGCTAAAACACTCCTTTTTTCTTTTGCCAGTCCTGGAGCTTGAACTGAGCCTGGGTGATGTCCCTGGACTCCTTTTGCTCAAGGCTAGCACTCTACCACTTGAGCTACAACTCCATTTCTGGCTTTTTCTGAATAGTTTATTGGAGAAAAGAGTCTCAAAGACTTTCCTGCTTGGGCTGGCTTTGAACCAAGATCCTCAGCTCTCAGCCTCCTGAGTAGCTAGGATTACAGGCATGAGCTACTGACGCCCAGCTTTAAAATGCTCGTTTTAAGAGATTTAATTTTCTGCCTTCACTGACTTCCCTATAGTACACAGGACATGATAAGGATGCTTCTGGAAAATTTTTAAAGGGGAAATGCTTGTAGATGAAAAAGGATGTGAAAGGTAAGCTTTATCCTAATGAGTATTCTATGATACAAAAAGCCAGGTAGGTAGGTCTTTTACAAAGTAAATTAAAGGGGTTGGGAATGTGTCTTAGTGGCAGAGTGCTTGCCTAGCATGAGTGAAGCCCTGGTTTCCTCAGTACCACATAAACAAAAATAGCTGGAAGTGGCATTGTGGTTCAAGTGGTAATGTGCTAGTTTTGAGCAAAAGCAGCTCAGGGACAGGGCCCAGGCCCTGAGTTCAAGCACTATAACTGACAAATAAATAGACAAATAGATAAAGAAATAAATAAGTGACAGGATTACAGGCTCTCACCTGTAATCCTAGCTACTCAGAAAACTGAGATCTGAGGATTGCTGTTCCAAGCCAGCCTGGGCAGAAAAATCCCCATGAGATTTTTTTTTGGGGGGGTCCGGTCATGGGGCCTGAACTCTGGGACTGGGCGCTGTCCCTCAGCTC